GTTCTTGTCTGGCCAATACCCACCACCTAATGCATTCCATTTCTCCCTTCGGTCTAAAGCATCATTCCTGAGGGTGTCCTACCCTGCTGCTCTCTCACCTCTGGACTTGATCTTTACCAATGTTCCTGTCTACCTCCCAGCACAGCAAACATACAATTGTTTTATAGGGATCTATGAGTGTCAGTTCTCCTTACATTAATGAAAATAATCTATCAAAATAAAATGAGCGGGGTGGAGCGATGGCTCGAACGGTTAAGGAAGCTCACTGCTCTTGCAGAGGACCCAGTTTCTGTTCCCAGTACCCACATGGCTTACAACCACCTGTAACTCTAGTCTCAGAGGATTTGACATCCTCTTCTGATCTCCATTGGCTCCTGAACATCCCACCCCCCGCACACACGATAGGAGATATCTATCATAATGAGAGACACATGTCTGATAAGCATATGACAAGATTCTCAACACCATTAATCAAATAAGGAAACAGAAATCAAACTACAATGAGATCACTTCACACCCATGAAATGGCTATAACCATAAAGACCTTGTGTCACAGGCCTTGTAACCCTAGTTACATGGAAGGCCAAGGCAGGAGGATCCTAGGTTCAAAGACTGCCTGAGCTATAGGCTCCATTTTTAAGAACCAACACAGAGGACTAGGACTACTGCTCATCTGAGAGAATGCTTGCCTAGCATGCATGAAACCCTGGGTTTTGATCCTCGGCACCACCAAACTAGGTATGATGGTGCATATCTGTAATCCCATGGCTCAGAGGTCAAGACAGGAGGATGAGAAGTTCAAAGTCATCCTAGGCTAGACTAGTACCCACCCACATGGCAGCTCACAACCACCTGTAACTACAGATCCAGGAAATCTGGTGCCGCCTTCTGGCCTCTGCAGGCATCAGGAACTCAAATGGATCACAGACATACATGTAGACAAAACACCCATACATATAAAAACATCAAGAAATAGTTTTTAAAATGCAAACACACACACACATGGAACTCAAATGGATCACAGACATACATGTAGACAAAACACCCATACATAAAAAAACATCAAGAAATAGTTTTTAAAATGCAAACACACACACACACACACACACACACACACACACACAGTTCTAAATAGCAAGAACAGGCTGTTCATTCTGTACAGTGAGGTGAAATACAAATTTCATGGACAGTGGAGGTATTTTCATGTTATCATATTCCTATCTTATTGTTATATTTGGCTACATTGTACTCTAGTGGTGGTGGTGATGATGATGATGATGACAACAGCTGTGTGTGGCCCACACCTATAATCACAGCACCAAGTAAGGTAAGGCAGGAAGATCAATCAAGCTTGAGTTCAAAGCTAATGCATGCTGCACAACAAGAGCTTGTCTCTAAAAACAGCAGTGGCAGTGGACAGCAGCTAATGTCCAGGAGCTATTCTAAGCACTTTGCACACTAATTAACTTAATCCCTACAACAGCTTTCTGCAGTGACTTCATTTCACAGAGGAAGAAACTGACCAAACAGACCTATCATAATTTATCTTATCTACCAATGTGTATTGAGTTGTTTTCATTTCATACTTTGCTCCGGCAAATTTCCTCACACACAGAATTCTCTGAGCTTGTGACAATTAACAACAATTCCCTGAGCAGAGGAACTCTGAATCTGCAGGCAGATATATTCAAAACCTGTGCATGGTACCAAACACACCCCACTTGGAAGTGAGAGATAACGGTCCATTTCTCTCCCATGGCAGCGATGCTCAAGAAAGCCCGTGCATCCTCAGCAGTGTCTCCCTGTACTGACGCAGAAACCTTCCATGCTATGTATGCTTCAGGCACCTATCACCATCCCTACAGGGTTGCTTAGGACTTCCTTAGAAGAACCCAACCCACCTACAAGTCTCCGCAGAGTCCCCGACACTAACAGGTGTGGAAATAAAGGAGAGGCCTGAGGACTATCCCTAGCAGGAAGAACCCAAACCACCTTTCCTGAGGGGATAGAAGAGCCCGCCCCACGACCCAGTGATCTCACTCACCTCTGCCTCAGCCAGACTGATCTGCCTCTCCAGATCCTCAGGGATCATTTTCCCTCTGAAAAAGAAAACTGAGTGAGTGGAGAAGGTGCAGGTATTCCAGACCTGACAGAGCTGGGTAAGGCAGAAAGAGCAACACAGGGGCACTGAGACCTCAGGGCACAGGGTAGGGATGCCAGTGGGCACTGAGAAGCAGGAGCGGCAACTCTGAAAGAAGCGTAGGCAGGAGAGGTGCACCAGGGACAAGGGCCTGAGGCCTGAGCATTTGATAAGTAGGTGACACACTGTGCCAAGCTGGGTCAGGGCCATGTCGGCAGAAGGACCTTCACCTCTCATCAGCCTTGACCACTCGGACACTGTCAGTGCCAAGTCCCAGAAAAGCAGCTCCCTTACTGATGGAGTAGTGACACTGTGGAAGAATGCAGAGGGCAAGTTAGCATGACCTGAGCTGGGGCCCAGAAGGTGCTAAGGATGGGGAGGGCAGAGGCTGGTAAAAACCATGTGAGCTGCAATCGATGGGATCCTGTGGCCAGGGCTTTCAAGTGTTCATGTGAGGGGATGACGTTGGATCTGAGTTAAGTAGACTCAGAGCTGGTAGGACCTGAGACTCTGCATCTCTAATAACTTGCTAGCTGATGTCAGTGCTGCTGGACGTTGCACTATCCTCACAAGTGGAACTGGTGTCCACTGCACTTGTCTTACACTAACTCCAAGAGGGCAAAATGAGTTTACATACACATTTGGCCTCCTTGGAAGGAAGCGTACCCCCTGGAGGGCAGGAAGAAGACTTGTAGAGTCTCTGACTGAGCTGGCTGAAGATTAGACTCAGGAGGGAGGGTTAGGCCTGTGACTCTTCCCTACCTCCTTTGATGTGAAAAGGGCTAAGGGTGGCAGTGCCCGGAGGCCTCTTTGCTTGCAGTCTGGGTAGCGCTGATAGCGGGCCAGGTTCATGGCATACATGTTCGAGATGGAGCCACCTGTCACAGGGAGAGGGTGGCAGCAAGAGGGAGAGGTGGTGAGTCAAGACTAAGAGTTTTATTCCCCTGACCTTTCCACCCAAACATGATTAGAGTAGCAGGCATCACATTAGCTCCCAAGCCATGAATTCCCAGGATTCACAAATAGCACAGGGGCCAGAACAGCCCCAGAATCAGAAGACACCCCCATACACCCTGAGCTACCTAATAGGGTCACTTTCCCCATGACAGACAGCCTCCAGAGCATTTCTGGCCAACACCAGGATAAAGGGGACAGGAAGCCTCTACATGGGCCTGCCCAGTGGACACAGAGAGGAAACAGCCATTGCCCTTCACACTAGTTCCACAGAATTAGAGAAAGTACAGGAGGCAGACCCCTTACAAAGACCCAAGGGCATCCCCCTTCTCACATACCAGGACAGAAGACCCCATCCCCAGAATTCCAGCCCACCAGGGCACGGAGTTTCTTCAGCACCTCCTCTTCCATGAGGACAAACACAGGGGCAATCTCATATGTGTACCTGCCAGGGAACATCAATGAAAAGGCTGGGGTGGAAGACCTGCCCAGCTAAGTTAGAGGGCACGGTGAAGTAAGGGTCCCAAGAGAAACCAGGGCACGGAGTTTCTTCAGCACCTCCTCTTCCATGAGGACAAACACGGGGGCAATCTCATATGTGTACCTGCCAGGGAACATCAGTGAAAAGGCTGGGGTGGAAGACCTGCCCAGCTAAGTCAGAGGGCACGGTGAAGTAAGGGTCCCAAGAGAAAAATCGGTGGGATCACACGAGAAAACAGTGGGGTCAAGAGGCATGAGGAGATTGGTGGACAGAAACCCAAAGGACAGACAGGAGGGAAAACATTGTCAAGGGCATTTGTAGAGAAACAGTGGCAAGAGGCAGAAACCATTCTCCTCTCCTACCCAAATGACTTTTCCCCAGCAAACCCAGATCCTTTGTAGACAGAAGGGCCCTAGATGGCTTACTGGCTGGTGTTGAGGCTTTCTGTGATGATGCGCCCAGCCAGAGCATGGGGGTCTAACCCTGAGAAGAGCTGGTTGAAGAACCGGGGGTGACCTGGAGAAGGGGGAGCAGGCAGGGCTCTCAGGGTGGAGCTGGGAACTGGGGCCAGAAACCCCTCCCGCCAGGCTCCCAGGCACACCAGTCTTGACACTGTAGTGAATCACAGCCCGGCAGCGCTCTAGAATCTGCTCTTGAGACTCGCCCTGGCTCTGCAGCTCCAAATCCAGCAGATGCTTGAGCTCTTCAGGCTCCTTCCATTCACAAACCTAGGAGGAGTGGCCAAGATGCAAAGATCTTAGACAGTGGCTGAGATCCAGCCATAACCTAACAGATGCAAGGCATCACCTCCTTCCATTCACAAACCTAGGAGGAGTGGCCAAGATGCAAAGATCTTAGTGGCTGAGATCCAGCCATAACCTAACAGATGCAAGGCATCACTAACTCGCAATCAAAATAGGTCAAGAATGTTTTCTTTCACGAGTGTACACAAAGCAAGGGGAAATGAAGGACATAAGATTCAGAATGCAGATCTTGAGGCACACATGGACAGGGTGAACCCACTGGAGTCAAGTTTACAAGATGATGGGCAGGAGGAGGAAGGAGAAAGGGCCCACCTTCTCCGAGGCACTGGTCCCTTTCCGAATGGCCTCATCTACAACAATCCCAAACACATCCCGGAGTAAGGACTCCACAGCCACAGGGTCCCCATCCAGGGCATTGAGTGGTTTTGAGGCAGCCATCAGGATGAAACCTGCAAACAGAATAGAACCCTTCCTCATTCGGCCTATGTGCCACACCTGGACCCAACAAGCAAGACTTTCTACCTGGTAACAGGCTCAAGGTCCTGGCTAAGTACAGATGAGGGTGGGTGGCAGCATCCAAGGAGAAAGCCAGTGGCAGCAAGAAAGAAGGGAAAGGCAACCGATACTAAGTAAGCAGGATCAGTGGTCAGTCTACCTAGGGCAGAGACATGACACTTACCTTTCTGCTCAGGTCTGTGTTCAGATGAGCTGGTGACAAGGCACACAATGAACTTTTCAGAATAATAGGACCAAGAAAGCAGAGGGAGTAGGGTAAAGCCAACAGTCACATGGCCATGGCACAACTCTCGTGACCCTTGCCCGATAGAGAACTTTCACAGATTTGGGACAGGAACAGCTGGTTAAGTTCCCTGAATAATCATTAGCTGACAGAAGAAGGGTGGGGGCATGAAAAGCAAGGCGAAAGCAGGTGGCACATTCACCTCAGGGAGTGGAGAAGGGATTCCCACTGTGACTCTAAGCTCCCAGGGAATGGGGGAAGACTGGAGGAAGGCAAGGGTAGAGAGGCCCAGGGAAAGGTTCAGGAAGGGCCTGAGATGTGCAAGTTAAACCATTCTACCTCTGAGACTTTGCAAAACCATCCTTGTTTCTTCTCCTAATTCTGTCCCCCCCTCTCTCTGCCTCTCTCTCTGTCTCTCTCTCTCTGTCTCTCTCTCTCTGTCTGTCCCTCTCTCCTCCCTCCCTCCCTCCCTGGCTAACCCCTAGAGACAAGGTTTCTCTGAATAGACCTGGCTATCCTGGAATTCATTCTATAGATGAGACTGGAGCGATCCTCCTGAGTGCTGGGATTAAGGTGTGCACCACCACCACCCGGCTAATTTTCTTTTTCTTTCCTTTTTTTTTCTTTTGGTTTCTCTGTGTAGCTTTGGCGCCTATCCTGGCACTCGCTCTGGAGACCAGGCTGGCCTCCAACTCACAGAGATCTGCCTGCTTCTGCCTTCCGAGTGCTGGGATTAAAGGCGTGTGCTACCAATGCCCAGCTTTTTTTTCTTCTTTTTAAGGTTGCATGTATCCCAGGCTGATCTCCAACTTGATATATGGCCAACAATAATTTTGAACTCCTCATCTTCCTGCATCTACCTCTCAAAGGCTGAGATGAGCCAGGAATGAGCCCCATACCCAGTTTATGTCATCCTGGGACCCAGACCCAGGACTTTGTATATGCTAGGCAAGCACTGTACCAACTGAGCTACATCCATGCCCTAGCATCCCCCACCCATCTTTTCTTTAGATGGAGCCTTAGATATAGCCATGGCTTGCCTTAAAACTCAAATCTTCCTGCTTCAGTTTCCAAGTACTGTGATCAGTAGGTCTATGTTATCAAGCCTCCTCTGTCTTGGCTTCTGAAGTCCTCTCCCAGGAGGCCTCACTGAGGAAGCACTGTGTCACACAAGCATGGTGTCTTGCCATCCATGCTAAGATTGTTGGAGGACATGCAACAACAATACCCCAGGGCCTGATGGATCCCAACTCTAAGTGTACTCAGAATTCAGAAAAGTCCCGGGAGGCTGAAGTCTAGGGAGATCTGCAATGGAATTGAAGCTGAGACTTGAATCTGGGCAGTAGAAACACAGCAGGTAAACAGGAGGTGAGAAGCACTTGACACAGAAGGAAGAAGGCCATGAGCTAACATGGGAATTAGCAAGGCTGGTTCTGACTCAGGCAGAAACTGGCCAGCTGGGATGCGGAAGCAAAGGTGAGTGGGTTATGGAAGCCTTAAGCATCAGCCAGACCTAGGAATCTAATTTTACCCTGCAGAAAATGAAGTTACTAAAGGACTTAAATTGATGCTGACAGCTAGTTGTGCTGGTTCAAGCCTGCAACCACAACTGGAAGCAGAGGCAGGAAGATCATGGCAAATCCCAGGCCAGTTAGAACTACATACAAAGACCCTGACTTGTAAAGACAAAAACAAAACATTAGAATGGAAATGGGAAAGATGAGGGGGCAGTGGTGGAGCACACCTTTAATCCCAGCACTTGGGAGACAGAAGCAGACAGATCTCTGTGAGTTCAAAGCCAGCCTGGTCTACAGACTGTCTAGTTCCAGGACAGTCAGGGCTACACAGAGAAACCCTGTCTCAAAAATCAAAACAAACAAACAAAAAAAACAAAACACACAAAAACTAATTTTTAAAAAATTGATGCTTTTAGCTGGATCTGTATGGACCCAGTACTCCAATCCCAGTGCTTAGGAAGTTGAGACAGGAGGATCACTATGAGCTTGAGGCCAGGCAACACTACACAGAAAGCCCCTGGAGAGAGAGAGAGAGAGAAAAAAAGGAAGAGGAGGAGGGAGGGAAGAAGGAAAAGAGAGAGAGAGAGAGAGAGAGAGAGAAGAAAGGAGGGAAGGAGGGAGGGAGGGAAGAAGCTGTGTGGTGGTGATCTATGGATTTAATCTTAGCACCTGGGAGACAGAGGTCAGCCTAGTCTATAAATTGAGTTCCAGAACAGCTAGAGCTGTTACACAGAGAAACTCTATCTCTAAAAACAAAATGAGAGTGCCAGGCGTTGGTGGTACATGCTTTTAATCCCAGCATTCAGGAGGCAGAGGCAGGAGGATCTCTGTGAGTTCAAGGCCAGCCTGGTCTACAGAGTGAGTTCCAGGACAGTCTCCAAAGCAATACAGGGAACTCGAAAAACCAAAAGAGAGAGAGAGAGGGAGGGAGGGAGGGGAGGGAAGGGGGGAGGGGGGGGCGGGGCGGGGGGAGGGGAGGGGAGGCAAGGGGAAAGCCACTCCAGGTTTGGTCACTCTCTGGGTTACACCAATTCTGACAAAGTCTGTTGAAGGAAATGGAAGAATCAAAGATGACCGTGGAGTTTTGCACTTGGGTGACTGGAAAAGTTATATGGAGGCAAGAGGGAGAAACCTGAATGAAAGTGAAAAAGAGACTTCCAGATGTGTCCATCCAAATGGAAGCTTCCTGAGACTAGAAGTCTGCCCAGCTAGAGCACCAGTGAGATCACAGGGAGCTGAATCTTTGTAATGCAAGGATGGATGGGATGAGAGCACCAACACTGAGGTTTGAGGAACCTCCAGGAGAGGGCACATGGATCTGGAACACAGCCACCTTCCTGAGGGGAACTATTCAAATATAATCCACTGTCAGCAGTCACCAGGTCTCACACTAGCATTCACCGGGTGTGAGGAAGTGGCAACACTAGCCAGGACAGAGATGGAGGGGTCAGTTCTTCAGAGTCACCGGAACAGTGGCAAACATGGAGTACAAAGGTCAAGAGACTAATTAAACTTAAGGCAAACTGGATGAACCACATTTTAAAAAGGGAACTGAGTTTCAGAGTTTTTACTGCAAATACTAACAAATGCTGCCTCTGGCATGTAATCTTTCTTCTACGTGGTGATATATTATTTATGATTTGTTAAAACTTTCCTGAGGGCACAGAAAGCAAAGCCAGCCACACTAGTTAACCATAGAAGCCAGGCGGTAGTGGTACACACCTTTAATCCCACCACTTGGGAGGTAGAGGCAGATGGATCTTTATTAGTTCAAGACTACACTCAGCTACACGAATTGATCCAGTGCTAAGAGAAACAGCTCACAAAGATGATCTCAGCACTTGCATTCACACACCTTTAATCCCAGCACTAGAGAGGTATAAAAGATAGGAGCAGGGTCTAGGAGTCTCTAGCCACTTTAAGGACAGCATAGCAGTCAGAGTGAATCTGAGGAACTGTGAAGTCAGGAACAGTCTGAGGATCGCCTCTTTTGTCTGAGCTGAGGTAGAGGTAAGAGCTAGTAGCTTGGCTACTTTGCTGATCTGACCCTCGGGTTGAACCCCAACATCAGTCTCTGGGTCTTTTATTTTTCTACATATTGCCTTTTCTCCACAAACAAAAAATGGGTAATCTTACATTAGCACATACAGAGCTCCCTATTGTTCTAAGAGCTTCGTGGAGATACATTTTACATAGCCACAGAACACACCCCTTTATCCAGGGGGTTTAGTACAACCACAAATTTGAGCAAGCACTGCCACTACCTAACTCTAGAACCTCCTCATCCCAGGGATAAACTCATCAGCAGTCACCGGTTCCTCCCACACAGACCTCTGGCAACCACAAATCCACTTTCCTTCTCTACAGATTTGCCAGGCTGCGCAGGTCACGTCAAAAGAAGTATACAATATGTGGGTTTTGTAACTGGCTTCTTTTACTCAGCAAACTGTTTGAAAGATTGTAGCATGAGCCAGTATCCAGGGGGTTTAGTACAACCACAAATTTGAGCAAGCACTGCCACTACCTAACTCTAGAACCTCCTCATCCCAGGGATAAACTCATCAGCAGTCACCGGTTCCTCCCACACAGACCTCTGGCAACCACAAATCCACTTTCCTTCTCTACAGATTTGCCACGCTGCGCAGGTCACGTCAAAAGAAGTATACAATATGGGGGTTTTGTAACTGGCTTCTTTTACTTAGCAAACTGTTTGAAAGATTGTAGCATGAGCCAGTGTCTTCCTCCTTTTCATGGCTGGTTCATACTCTTTGTAGGTACATTATGTACTTCATTTGGCCATTTATAAGTTTCTAAATATTCCAGTCACTGTTGCCACTAGGCTATAATGAATAATGCGGCTATGAATGTTTGTGTACAAGTTTTTGTGTGGGCATGTATTTTTAATTCCCCTGAGGACATACCTGGTGGTAAACTGCTGAGTCACATGCTAACTCTAGGTTTAACCTTTTGAGAAATTGCCAAATTGTTTTCCAAAATAGTTGCCCTTTGACAGTTCCCACCAATAACGTTTGAGAGACTTGTCACTGTCTGTCGTTTTTACCATTACCATAAGCATGTTTGATAGGGGCCAACATTCATAAAACTTGTAACAATGTACAAAAATGTTTGATCAGCAAGATGGCTCAGAAAAGTTAAAGGTGCTTGCCACCAAGACTGACTGCCTGAATTTGAT